ATATTCAGGTGGAAAAGGTATATATTTGTTGAAGCTAACACAATGAAAAGTGAGGCATAGATCATTTTGATTGACTCAGTCTCTTTATTGAAAATTTAGAATGCACAACAGCTTCATATCCAGTTAATGCTAGATACTGTAATTGTGTCAATTAAGAAAGGTGTTTAAAAGAGCACTTTGTATATTCTAACATTAGAAACCAATATTTTTCTAAGTTTATTTGCAGATACTAGGAAACAGAATACAATTCTTTTTTTATTGTGCAGTTGCTAAACAGGCACTGCTGTTATAAAAGAAATACATGTAACTATTTTTTGCAGAGATAACAGGGCTGCAAAACTGCTTGTGCTTCTGGGAAAAAAATATTCCATTAATCAAGCATAAAGTCTTACACAGATGGCTGGTAGAATAGATTATGGCTCGTAATCCTTTTGTGTCCTAGAAGATTAAGGATATTCTGGTGCAACAGTAGTCAGCTGACACTTAAAAAAAACAAAACTGAAAATTCTTGGTGTAATCCAGCAAGGGCTAAGGCTTTCCAGGATCATAGGAATTTAATTCTAAAGACCATTCTGGTAGATTGAGGGGGTGTAAACTACATACTTCTGGTTTGCTGCCCGCATTAGTTCACGCAGTAAAGCAGCATTTCTGCAATCACATTTCAATCTGGCATCCTAAGTCTTATGATCAGATCAGCTTCAGACATTCTTCAGTGGAGATAATGGCACAGTGGGCTATGGTTGCTGTGCAAGGAGAATAAGAAAGATGGATGTGTCAGTAGGTACGGGAAGGAATGAGTGCTCATGCATTCTAAGATCTCTGTGATGGACTGGCAAGATATGGATCTGTATGAAGATTACAAATCTCCTTTTGATTTTGATACTGGAGTTAATAAAAACTACCTTTACTTACTGCCCAGCATGACTTTCTCCCCTCCTGAATCTCCCGCACTGAAGAATTCTGGTAACTCTCTTGATGTTTTAATATCTGTAATATTCTGAAAATTAGTACTGTAAGAGGAGATAATAGCTCAGCTTGCTTTCAGTGTGTAATAATGGGTTCTGATCTGCCCATTGGAACTGGAAACAGTCATACTGTAAAAAGATTCTCAGTGCTTAGAAACAAGCATTTTTTGTACCATAATCTTAGTGGATACAGGGATATAACTGCTTAGATGGAAGCAACTGAAAGCCTAGTTTAGAATATAAATATATGAAATAGAATCTTGATATCTGGTACTGCCTTGCAGCTCCTAAACCTACCTTGAGTCTCTTAGGCTTGGAGAATGGTTGGTTTCTGATTCATGGGAAATTGAAATGACTCTAATAAGAGCAGGAGGGATACCCAGAACCTAATAATCGAAAATCAATGTTTCAAATGTACTAGATTTGAACTCTTTTAGGGATCAAATAAAAATCATCCTACATGATGGATATAGCTGTTTAGGAAGTTCAAAATATATCATTTAGATGTTATTTATATCTAAATAGTATATTTTGAACTTCTTAAACAGCTGTAGTTGCACCATTATTCTGGATTTTTTATCAGTAAAAACATCTGTTAACATTTGTAGAGTTCTCTTTGTTGTATTTTGACACTTTTGCTTCTGTATCTGGTTGACAAGCAGTAGTACTCTTCAGAATGATTTTGATGCCTTCTAATTGATATGTAACGATTTTGCTATCTGATTACAATAGCTTCAGACTACCTGGCAGTCTAGAGTTATAATTTGGCTGCAGAGCAGGAAGTCGTAGATTTGATGCTTCCTTAGCTCATGACAACACTCCCTGGTTTGTCTTACCTGCCTCTCCCCCTAAATCTTCACAATGATGCAAATTGTGCTTTGGATACTTCCAAGCATTATAGGAATGGTTATGAATAGTGTTGAATAAACATTAATTGGCATTAATTTCTAAATCAGGAGCAAAGATTTTAATGTTGCCAAATTGTAGCATTTAAACAAGGCCCAGCCAATGTGGCCTATGGTGAAGAATGCTAAGAGTAGTAATTCAGCAACATTTGGAAGTCCCGCATTTTACTCATCCCTGCTACTTGTAGGCATTTTAATTTCTAAATGAATTGAGTGGAATTTTTGTAAATTTTAAATACTGGAAAATACTCATTACGAATTTGCAAGAGCCTGTTTCAGGTAACTTGCAGTGAATTAGCATATCAGGTTTGAGAATGTCTTGCCTTACTACTCTTCCTACTCTTCAGGGTGAGAGGAAAAGAGATTTATGACTTGAAAATTCTACCAAAACTCTTTCCAGCTACTTACGATGAGTTTGCATATTCTTCATCATAATTACTACTCCATCATTACTCAGTTACTTGCTATTGCCACCTAAATTTTCCACAGTTGCACTAGGTGAACGATCTCAGGTCTAATTATTCTGCAATTAATATTACATGTAAAGGGGCTTGGGATTCTGTCTTTCTATCCATCAGCAAGATAATTTCCAAAAACCAAACACAACAGGACCAAATTTGGTATGGGAGGAGAAGATTTAGTTTGAAAATGAGCTAGATCTGGCCAAGGATTACAGAGAAAAATATTCTGGTTTAAAAACAAACACCTCTACTACATCCCATGGGATAGCCAGTTGGATTTTGACTTGGAGTGTTAGTGTTTTGTTCTAATCCCCTCCCTTTTTCTGATCACGTGACCTACAGCAAGCACATGCAGCCCACCCTGTGTTTCCCAGTGCACACATTCACAGACACAACATACAACTTTATTACAGAATATAGTTGCCTCCTATGGCTAATGCTGGTAAAGAGGTTGGAAAGAATTCCAGAAGTCATTCAGTGCATGCTTCCAGTTTCTTGCTTCTCAGTTCTTTCTGCTATGTGGCGAGAAGTGCCTTAAGATTAAGGCACATACAGGCCTTTAACCAATAGCAAAATGATCTGATACTTTTAATCCATTGTATGCCACCTTGAGTTGTTTTGATTAGGTGACCCTATAAATTGAATAAACAGAGTGCTATTCTGTGGTGTTATCTTTATGATCCTTTCATGGCTCCTTTCGGCACTGAATAACAGATTGACTGGATCAGTTACCTGCGTAATCCTTAGCTAGAAAAATTTTCAATTGCTACTGTTGGAATGTCCTGTATGAATTATGGAGTCCCAATATTGTTTTGATGTTCTTTGTTGATACTTAAGTATTTTCTTCAGTAGTTTCAGATGATTCCAGGGAAATCTTGGGTCTCTTGGAAGCATATTTGGGGGCACTGAGGAGGATTGGGCCTTGATGACAAAGAAAGGACTGGAATTGTGGATCACTTTCTGTAATAACTAATATTCTCATGCCCTATAATTCTTCCATATTTAATTATACTCTAGGATTCAGTTTGGTCATAGGGAATGACTCAGTCCTATTGCAAATGGGTAGCACTCTATGCAGGTAACTTCTGACTCTTTTCCAGTCATTGCAACTGTAATACATTGTCATGGTATTGATTTCTTGAGGCCTGGAAACAAGTAGTTTGGGGTGCCACTTCTGCGCTGATTGTAGCATTGAATCTCATTCCTCTAAAAATGAGAGCGGTAGAAAGAAATTTCTCTGACAGCAGTATATTATGGGGGTAGAGGAGGAGGGATAGTATTTTGTGTCTGGAGATAAGTATTGCTCACTGTTTACAGTTGATAAGCTGTGTCATGCATCTCTGAGTGCTGCCTCTTAAGTTCAGTGGCTATAGTTAAGGCCAGTGAGAGTAGTTGTTAAAAGTCTGAAATGAGAAATCTTGGGAGGACAGTGAGGCTGGAGGGGTTTAAGAGCCTTGTGGGAAGCCACGCAGTAGAACCAAAATCTAAATATCAGCCGTGATTGTGACTTAATTTTTTTTTCCTAAATAAAGCAGGTCACTATTAGGAATGCTTTACTATCTTAGCTGAACTCTGATCATGGTCAAATCTGGCTGGGGTTTCTTCAGTTTTTATATTTATTTATTCAGCCTGTTTTTTAAGCAGGCCATCTTGGTTTTTCATAAGAACGTAATGCTCCACAACAGGAATTCATGCTTCTGCTGCTTTCCCTCCTCATTTTAGAAATAAATACATTTACTAGAAGTGGGTAGAGATGCAGTAGAATGCATGTAGGAGTCTGTCACCCCATTTGCAGCTCTAAAGCACCCCAAGACTGAGTTGTCAAATTTCTTTGGAGTGACTTATAGCAAAATAAGAATGGAAATTGGACTTTTGGATCTGGTCAAAATATGATCAACTCACTGGGGGGCCTCCTGTAGCCTACTGGCAGGTCAGGAAGTGAGTCATAGCCCAGACCCATAGGAGAGTTGCTTATCCTTGACTTAAAAGAAAAGTGTAATATTTGGAGAAAATGTTGCTGTAACTGCTTTGCAATCTAATAGTAATCTGCAATACTCGTAGTTAAAGAGTAACTGATAGGTTCAGACCTACTTAAAGGATTGGCTCCAGGATATAAGGAGCCCTTGGTGAAACATCTACTTGTGGTCCAGTTCTTGGTTTATAGATCATAATATAAAATACTATGGGGCCAGGAAGTTGTGTCCAACCATGCTTTCAATTTTCACACTGAATGAGAATAGGTCATTGACGTCATGGGGATAAAAAGGGTGGCTAAGTGGAATTGCTTGGCACAGCTTACTGTTAGGGTAGGGGGAGGACAACCATCAACAGTGTGCTCTAGTCCTCAGCTGTCTACAGAGACCCATATTTTTTATGACAGTTGATGAAATGTGCTGCCTGAAACTAAGTTGTATGTCTAGGTTTTTATTGAAACTGATTCTTGACCTGGCATTTAAATTTAAAAAAGCCTGCTTCTTTGGCCTCTGAATTATTATTTTATAATTTCCTTCAAATGAGTTTTAGTCAGTTGGACAAGTTGAACTTCACATTTGATACTACTTGTCTTAGCTCTTTTCACATCTTGCAGTATGTCAATCCCTTTTTTCATATACCCAGCCTGTCCTAATGGCTTCCATTCTATTTCACTGTGGAACGTCTTCATAGTGTGATGCCAAGTTGACAATTTTGATCTGCTTTCTAAAGGTCTGCTGAAAAATGAAGCAATTCCTGAAGGAGAAGATGCTGTTGCTACAATTAATGTAGAAGCTCTGTCTGAAGAAGAACAAGATGAACTTAGAAGAGAGCTTGCTAAGGTAAATTTAATTTGAAGTGGCAGTTTTCTTTGTGATCCCCAAGACTAATGTGAAACATTTACTTATGCAACTATATTTAACAAAGATGAAATGACTGAGTTAACAGATTGTGCTAAGCCATGTTGTATTTAACCACCATTTAAGAAACCACAGTAGGCTGGAAGCCACACTTCTGCTTCCTGCCCTTCTGAAGGGCTGCAAGGATTACGCCTAGGAATGTCTTCAGAATGTGAGGGTCTAAAATTTAACCCCATCCACCACTGGAAGTTCTGGAGCCACAAGTACAGTGGGCTGCATATTGACTGGGCTGCTCACTGGGGGCTTACATATTACAATGGCTGGGTCCAGCCATTGACATCATCTATAAATTGTCAATGTGCCCTTTTTCTGAGGTTGCTGTGAACAAAATAAGCTTAGTTTTTCAAGAAGGTCTGAATGGTATGGTATATCCTATGGAAAGCCTATATAGCAACCTGTGGCTCCCAGAGCATCCCTGGAGTGGGCGGAGCTAAAATGTTAAGCCTCTTTTTTTTGTTTGTTTTAGGTAAGTTGGGGGTGAAATAGGAAGTTTAAAAGTACCTATTTCAACTTTCACAGTCACCTGAAATTTACAGATTAAGATGATTTCCCCTTTGGCAGGAGTAACGAAGCAAAATGGGTGCCTTAAGCCCCTGCTTGGCTCAAGGCACCCATTACACCTCTTTAAAATAATCCAAGTCTTCCCCTAACACTGCCCCCCCGAACTTAAAAAAGTTGTCTCTCTAGTGATGTCATCCCAAGAGATACCCCCTACAGACTGTTCTTCTGTAGAAAACCTCATAATTAAGGGTCATTTTAAGATCTCTATCTAATTAGCATTGGCTCTCTGTTTAATTACGGGTTACTTGAGGGACCATCTCTCCCCGGTTGTTTCTACCCATCCAATCTGGCCCAGCAGAACGGGCATGCTTCAGATCTCATTGGCTAAGGAATGCCAGTTGGTGGAGCCCAGAAGGCGTGCCCTTTCTGCCACAGCACCTGCCCTGTGGAACATTCTTCCTCTGGAGATTAGGATGGCCCCAACCCTCCTGGCCTTTTGTAAGGCCCTAAAGACCTGGCTCTGGGCCCCACCCCCTGAGTGTGTGAAAGGACCTGTCTCCTGATTGTATTAGCGTTGTTGATTGTGATATTTTCCTTGGCTGCAGTGCATTTTAATTTTTGTATTCATGGTGGTGTAGTTTTTTTACTTGATATTGTTTGCCACCCAGCGCCACTTCTTGAGATGGGCAGCTATACAAATTGATTAAATAAATCAATTAATAGTATTGTAGTAGATTCTTAGTAGAGTTGAGACTTGATAAAACACTTATGCAAGTTGATGATGTGTAAAGTAGTTATTTCTTTAGATTTTATTGCTTAAATTGATAAAACATAGTATGGATACTGCCTGTGACCTGGAATAGTTGAATACTAGACATTTATTGAATTTGAACTGGCCTAATATATTTGATTCCACTCTATCCACTGTGTATGTTGAAATCTACAATAAAATAAGCACACAAATCTTTTTCCAAAAGAAGAAGTACTGCTAATTGTGTGAAATAGCACTTTCTTTATACCTAACGTCCCTTTCATTGCTTTGCTTCATGGATTCTGTCTGCTAGGTAGAAGAAGAAATCCAGACTTTGTCACAGGTGTTAGCTGCCAAAGAGAAGCATCTAGCTGAAATAAAGAGGAAACTAGGCATCACTTCACTGCAGGAGCTGAAACAGAATCTTTCTAGAGGGTGGCAAGATGTAACTTCAACAAATGCGTATGTTTATTTTACTATTTGAAGGTGAAGTGAAAGTGCTTGAGTTTAATTAGCTGAGTTCCATGGCTATTGTCCAGAGAAATGTATAATTTGAGATCTAAAGGAGCAGGAATGTTTTTTGTTTGGGATCTAGCGGAGGGGGGCAAGTTGAACACTCTGCATGGGTATCTGATTATTTGCTTTTTTCCTGATGTGCATCACATAAACCATGGTTTGTTGAACAAACCATTGCAGCCTAGTTAAGGCAAAACGTTAGACCATCATGTTTTATTAACTCTAAAGCCCGGGACACATCACAGGAAGGCAAAAGCAAACAAAACACGTGATGGCTTAGCACAGTATGTGAATAGAGCTGCTGTCTGGAAGTTTTTCCATTGGGAGAGCTTTCAAATGTGTAACACGTGTGTACTATCTATGTCATGGCAACTTTAAAGTAGAGTGGCAGATGATTTTCAGGGCAGATAATATTTAGAATTCTTCTGAACATGTACATCAACATCCACACTCAATACTTTACTACTCTAAGGAGCTTATTTTTAAAAATGTTAGTAGCTATAAGACCACCATTGTCTAAGATTAAAGCAATGTGGCTTTTCTCATATGTAGTTGCCTTTTTTTAACAAATAAAATAGCAAACTCTAGCAGTAGCGCAGTAACCTTAATTTATCTTAATAGAAGAAAGGGAAACACCATTTAACATTTAATCTAAAGCTGATGTTGAGTGGAAATTTTAGCATGTTAAGAGGCTTTCTTATGAAGTTTTTCATGGGGTACATTACATCTTAATTTTAAATGTACTGGAAGGGGAATGATGAATATTTACACCCAGAACCTTTGAGATTCAGGGGTACAGGAATTGTGGTAACAGAAATCGACTGACTTTTGGATACAGGTATAAGAAGACATCAGAAACACTATCTCAGGCTGGACAGAAAGCTTCTGCTGCTTTCTCAACAGTGGGTTCTGCCATCACAAAGAAGCTGGAAGATGTGAAGTATGTTTTATTTTCCCCCCTGAGCTATTTATGTTGTAATGGAGCTTAATTGTACTAGATTAAAAAAAAGGTTAATACTGTCTGTGCTGCAGAATCTGTCTGGATTGTAGCAGGAACACAAATCCTTATCTTCCTTCTTGGCTGTTACTTTTGAAATGTTTCAGCAGAGTATCACCACTTTTGGCTACTGAGTTCTAATGGTGGACATACAAAAACATCCTGACATGCTGTATACCAGGATAATGGCTTTTATATGCTTTGTATTTTTCCTGTGCTGTTTATTACTCGCAATTAAAACAATTGATTAACTACTTTTTAATACATTTTACTAATGTTGTAATGCACTCAAAGAATTTTGGTTGCCAGACAGATGAGAAGCATAATAAACAAGAACAATGATCAAAGGACAGTAAAAGGCCTTAGAGATTTTGTCTTTACTATAGATATAATTTTGATTCAAGAAAGTTGATCAGGATAGTGTTGTTTTTGTATTAGAACCTTTTTGCGGGAAGTGGTTGGGGATTTTGCAACTGAGTTAGATGACTAGCAGAGTTCCATATTGAGACTTAGAATATTATTTGCAGTTGGGGCTGAGAATACTGTTCCATTGAATCTGGGAATAACAGCTCACATGTGCATGAACTCTCAGCTTCTCTTACCTGCTTCTCAAAAAGAACAAATTAAAAAAGGAAATGATCTGAAACTTGCATTAGGAGCAGCAGGCAGCCTGGGCTATAAAAGTAGAAAATTTTCCAAGTGCTAGCATGTTGTGAATGTGAATTCCCCTGCATGGCTTACAAAACTCCCGATCACCCTTGCTTAGAATTAAACTGTTAACATGTTTTTGAATTATTGTACAGTTGATGAGGATTTGCAGAAAAATGCTTCTGCACTGGGATGCAAGATTCTTGGCAAACTGATATTATACAAGCCGTAGCTCTGAATTCTATTCCCTGGCATTATGCTATAACTTTGCATGTTGAAGGTAGGGCAGTTATTAATAATACTGAATGTAACAGAGTATTTAGTTAAAGCACAGTTGTAGGAAGTTTATATGTAGAATTAAAGCTGGGATCATCTGATTGTTCTTTCATCTACACAAACAAACAAAACAAATCACCTGCATTTAATTTTAAAACTGCTGAATTGAAAAAAAAACACTGGAGAATAATCTGAGTTGATACTGTTTTCTTGAAATCTACTTCCGATATCTACATATAGTTTTACAATACTCTTACTTTGAAAATGGATTTATCTATTTATATAGAACTTTATTCTTATTTCTAAATATTGCTTGATATCCTACAGTGCAGGCATTTATTCTTTTAGGTGAGATGTCAAAAAGGTTCTGGAAGAGTATGAGTCAGTATACGTGGCCTGAAACTCCTCTGCAAATTCTACCATTACAGTACTGTCAAAAAGTATATTTTCTCTTCAGGGACATGCTAATCACTCTTTATAACCAGATTTTCCTTTCTTTTAATGCTGCCATTTAGTATACGTTGTCTACAGCATTCAATTAGTATGCCTGCTATGAGGTAAAGTATGTATTGTTTAGTAGTGTGCCCAAACTTACCATAATGTGAATAAGAATGGCTCGATTTGGTTAGTACAACTATGCCAGGTTATTAAATAAATAAAAGTATCAGATTTATTGTATACAAACTGCTTGGCCACTCGACTGTATTTAAAACAAGAAAATACACTGAAAATGCTATCAATAGTTTGGTTAGTGGGGAAAAAACCCTATTTGTACAGCTCTGAACATGATTCAGAGTAAATATGATTATAGAACTCAGTAAGCACATCTAGAATGAGAGTGATAAGTATGTGAGTGATAACCTTTTTAAGAACAATTCCCCCTGATCTCTAACAAGATTGTGGTGAGGAAGAAGGGTGCTTACTACAGTTAAAGTATTAGAGGTTGCATCTTAAATACTATTTAATACTATTTAATTTTGTTTATAGGTTCCCTCTCCCATTTAGTCTGAGTTTGAATGTATATTTCTTACTTGAAAATTAAGTATTCTTTCTTTTTTTAATTAGAAATTCACCAACATTCAAATCATTTGAAGAAAAAGTGGAGAATTTAAAGGTAAATTTTAACAAAATTTGTTGCTAAAGGAGAAGGAATTGGTTACCAAGGCTTACCAAGATACTAATAGTTTAACTCTTACATTTCTCCCGGCTATGTGATGAATTTTACATTTAGCACTATTCTATCTTAGCAACTGCAAGATAGAGAAGAACTTTTGTTCTTGAGAATAGAACAAAGTAGATTCAGTGTGAGTACCTTTGGAAATACTGTACAGTAGTAGAATAGTGCTTTTATTCCACTTCATGACTTTTCAGCTTTATTAGTACATAATACTGTGTCAGGATTCTGGAAATTATGAATCCAAACTCATTAAACTTTTACCAGTGAAACCAACTAAAGCCATGCTGGCTGGGAATTCTGGGTGCTATACTCCACATCTGGAGAGCTGTGGTTTGTTTAGAATTGCTTTTGAGCAGAGGGTTCTGGGTTGACTTTCTAAGCAAGCCAGGATGAGAGGCTTCCTAGGTGTAATAGCTTCTGTGCAAAGAATTATGCAAATGAAAATAGTTTTCTAACAGAACATGGGGCATGAATATATTCCAATGGCAAATTGCTATATCTTCAACATTGGAGGTTTTTTTTTTTTTTTAAATGAATCTCTAATATCTTACCCCAAAATGTTACAAAGCTATGGCTTGTTTAATTTACAAACTTAGATGCGCAAACATACATTTTCAAGGACAAATCTGAATAGTTCAAAATCTAATTTAAAAAAATTACCCCAAAGTGGTTGAAATGCTACATCTTCCAGAAGAATCCTAAATGGGTACTTGGGATGGGAAGGGGAAGTTCTGTAGTTGTATGGAAACTCTTCTTAAGTTCATTTGCTGCCTAAAGTTGGTTAAATGACTGCTAAATATATATGTGTACAGTTGTCTACATTCCCTGTGCTGGGTGAGTGATTCTGGGAATTAAAATCCACAGATGTTAAAGTTGCCAAAGTTGAGAAACACTGGTCTAAAATACAGATTTACAGTATCTGCAGATTAGCCTCATAAACGTTTTCGACTGCCCTCTAGTCTAAGGTTGGAGGTAACAAGCCTGCCGGAGGTGACTTTGGAGAGGTCTTGAATTCTACTGCCAACGCCAGTGCCACAGAAGCTACCACAAAGCAGACTGAAGAGGAGACTCAATGATTGCCTCACCGTTGTACTGTCTACTGCCAGATGCTGCAAGCAAATGCTGATGTGCATCACCTCTGCTGTTGACTCCTCCTATACGTTCTTCTGTTTAGCACTTACCTTTCTAAATATTTAATAGTTTCTTGAGGTTCAGAGTATTTTTGAAATAGGAAAATACACTTGCCTTTGTTAATCTGCAGGACAGGAATTTTTATGTATTTTGAGTATTAGACTTAATTCCAGTCTAGGTAATCACTAAGTTACTGCATTACAAAAAATTAAAAACAGAGCTGGAATATTATGCAGGTTGGATGTGACATTTCCTAACCATTGCCTCATGTCATGTCTCCTTTCACAGACAAACCTTAAAAGTCTTTGTCTAGTCATTAAGTGGATAGTCTTAGTTGATCTTCTTTCAGTAATATACTTTGAACAAATAAATTGATTGGAGTTTTGCAATGGCTATTTTATCACATTTTATTGCAGTTTTGAAAACTGAAGTTTGGTAGTTTCCACAAACATTTCATCTGTGCTTTATTGAAGTTCTCCAGAAAACATTTATTTTGACAGCTTAACTGATCCCAAGCTGAGACGCATTTTTGTCTTGGGGGTTATAGATGGACTTAATTCATTTTTTGCCTTGTCTACTGAATGTTGCAGAAGTAAAATGAACTCATAGGCATGAAGCAGATCACAAATGTAAAATATGTTGACTGAATGCTTAATACCGCGCAGCAGTGCTTCCAAAACATTCCATACTATTAAAAGTGTTAAACATTTATTCCTCTGTCATGGATTTAAAATTATGGGACACAATATATTTCATCCACCTCTCAATTATAATTGAAGTTGTGAGCAGGTTTATACACTTGTGTACCTGGATTCTGGGAATTTGCATCTGTAAGATAATGTCTTCAGTGAAGTAGGAGCCTATCTAAATTGGAAACCCTTGTTGAAGTTTGAGAGTACATTTAAATATTGCAATCATAGATCAATTTGCTATATAAAATGTTAATTAAATTTGCTGTAAAAAGATTTGATTTTCTAGAAGCAAAATGTATTCCACCTTTATATGTTTTACTTTCTGGCACCTTATAAAACTGTATTTTGCAGATGTCTTTGCTATCATCAAGCTTGAACTAAACTAGAACACATTAAGATGCACTGTAACTTGGGCTTTGTCTTTATAGCTGCACCAAAAAGGCTACAAATTATATAAGTCAACTTATGCTGTATTTGACAGCTCTCTGTAGCATTTCAAATTTAGTCTAAATACTTGATTGCATATAAAAATAAAATGCATTGTATTATCAAACATAAATGGCTACCTGAATGTATGTTTTCAAACAAGGTTCTGTATTTCATACTGTCCAGTAGTATGCATATTTACTTGTAAATCCAGTTAGATATTAGTAGAAGTTATCTTTAAAATACTTAGCTACAGTTCTTAATACATGATGTACTGCTCCCAGGATCTGCCTGTTGTCATTGTGTCAGCTTGCTTAGAGAGTTGAATTGGCATTTTTTCTGATTTTTCTAATATCAGACCAATTTTTTTTTTTTTTTGCACATCCAACTTCTGGGCACCCTGTTTTTCTATTGGTTTTGCTCTTGCTTCACCATGCCTCCTAGCTCCTGGATGGAAGCAAACTCCATTCCACCTCCCCTTCCCTAGCTCCACTGCAACTAAGTTAGTACAGGGATATAAGTTGTCTTAACAGGAGAACTCCTTAATTGTTCCAGTCAGTTTCATATAGTGTGATTTTGTTCTGTTTTGTTTACAAAAACCTTGCTCAGCTGAATTTTTCCATTTATATAATCAGGCTGTACTGAATTCTTCCCTCACTGTGCCTCGAACCCAAGTACCCTTCCGCATAAATACAAACTACACTGCAACTGCAGTTAGAACTTTTATAAAATTAATCAAATATTGGCTTCTAACTGGTTTGTTAGAGATTGGATACTGGAAAACAAAACAAAAACTGCCATGTGGAAGTACCCTAAAGAAGCTTAATATATTATAATCTTGGGCTATGTGTGTGTGTTTATGTGTATTCATATTCATAGGTAAGTCTCCAAAGCAGCATGGTACAATTCTGGATTATAAAGCACAAATGATAAATAATTGTTATAAAATTTAGTTATTCCTACAGTTGGAGATGTATTTTGATGTGGCCTGATACCTAGATATTATAAGGATATAACAGGATATGAGAATGGGTGAAATTATATTTGTTTAGGGAACCATTATTCCCCACAGATCTATGAGCCTTTCATTATATCCAATAATCTAACATAGATGTTAACCAAGCACTTGATATTCCAAGATTGGATTTGCAGATAAGTATTACATTCTTTCCTTTTGCCAATTTATTGATGGCTTGAATGATGTTAGGTAGTATACTAATGGTGCTAAATTCAGCATGTCACCTTTGAAAAGCTTATTTGTCCTCCAGGTAGTGACACTGGTGTGCTTCTGCAACATGCTTAACCATGGTTAATTAAGATTTACTCCACCCAATTGATTGGGTTGCCACAATGCACCACACAGGCTGGATTTGTGAATGCACCGGATCAGTTTGTAGTTCAGTTTATCAAATGAAAACTCTTCTAAATTTTAGAAAAGCAATAATCCTTGCTAAATAATAACTTCCCAATAAAAACACAAGGTGGCAGCAGATGAACAAAAAAATCTAAAGACACTGAACTCTCTGACATTTGTAACAGCAGAGGGTGTCTGCTTTTTAAACTTCAGTAATTTAGACACAATTGGTTTGGTCGCTCTGAGTTGTTAAGCAGTGAGATGTTCATAAGTGCTAACTGGGCTGAAAGGAACAAATCCAGCAGTTTTCTTGTTATTTTGAGCTTTCAGTTTCAAGTTTAATTGTCAACCATAGCTTAATTCTGGGTATTGCTGAGAAGACTTCACAAACATGTTAAAAAGTTTGAGTGGAAGACTGACATTTATTTGAGAAATGTAGAAACAGATTGAGCCAGAAGGGGTAGAAGCTGGAAAATTTTGCAATTCACGCCCTAAGTGGCCCAATCCAGATGAACCTTAACACATTTCCTACAAGAAACTGGCTTTGGAAGTCTTCTGGCCCGGGGGGGGGGGGGGGGGGGGCACAGGCACCTCAGCTAGCCAAGATGGCAGGAAAATGACGCGTGCAGTGACGTCACAACATACGCCTTGCCCATCGGTACTTGTATCTCCATGTATGACACAAACTCCAAATGTGACGCAACGACAGTGGTAAGTTGGAGTAGGGTAAAAATCACTTCAGCGGCGGCTAGTCGGTCTTTCTGATTACAAACAAGCCAGAGAGGCAAAACCCTCAGGGCTCCAGCTATTTGGGCCCATTCCCTTTTTAGTCTCCGGCATTCTCGCTTCTCCATTCCATAAATACTTTACAGATTTCTCAGTTTCGACTGGGATTCCCTTCCTCCCCGCCTCTGCTGAGAACGACCTCCTGTTGCCTCGCCCTAGAAAGACCCGCCGACTGACTGAGCTCCCAAATGTGAATCACGTGACGACGTCTGGCGAGAGAGCGAACGCCGCAACTGACCGTGAGGAAAGCGGTCGAGCGCCTTCAGCTCCGCACCTCAGCGGAACGAAGGAGTCGGGGTTCTGTACAACCCGAGAGATGTCTGTACAGGCTATGACATCTGGTGCACTTCCGCCTGATTCCAAGCACAGCTTAAGAACCCCCTGCTGCTCAGAATCTCTATGATTGTTGTGTTGAGGCGCTTTGGAGAGCTTACCGCTTCCGGTGTGGGCGGAGCTTAGCCGGCCGCGGGTCGCTTCAGTCATGGCAATCGCCTCTCTCTTGGCTGCCGCTGTTGGGCGACATCTGCGTCGGGGAGCTTCGGTGGGAAGACGCGTCTCCCGCCCGAGTCCAGGGGTGACGTTTGGCTGTCGCCGGGAGGCTTCTTCAAAAGAAGGGAAAGGCGATAGCGGAAGCGAGGTGCGGTTCCGTGCGGACGTGCATCTTTTCTTATTCTCCCCCCGGCTTTCTTTTGCGTATTCATTTTCTTCCGGAACGGGAGAAGAAGCGCGGCCTTGACGGGTCTGTCACGTTGTCGAGGCTCTCCGCCTAAATCCTTTCTCCGGGGACGGCCTGAGTGTGGCTCGGAATTACCTCGGTGCCTGCCCTGTCGCGCTTGGCTCTTAGAGGCTGGACGGAAAAACGTTTCCCGTGTCGCCCAGCCTCTAGTAGTAAAACGGGGTGCTTTCGAGGACAAGCGTGTAATCTCTGTAGTACCGTCCACCCATCGCATCACTGCCGTCTTCTTCTCTCAGCCTTTCCAGACGTAATCATTTTAGTAAATCATCTGCTTTCGCCATGTGCCCAAATATGTGAATCTCTGCAAAGAGCAGCCCAGTCTTTATTTGCTCCAGGAAGATTCACTTGCATCCGTGGTACTCAGAATAACTACTGCTGTTTCCGACCTCTGGGAAGATCATGGCTTTAACTGTTGTGATCTTTGTTATCATAAAAATATTCTCCTCTCATTATTTTATATAAGTTTATCATTGCATTCTTTCCTAGGTTCAGCCTCTTTACCTCTCCAGCACACTGTCCATCTATCTTTTCTTGAACTCAGAAAACAAAACTGCTTCCTTCACTTGATTGTCAAAAGCAGTGTCTTTACAAAGCATATGGCTTGACATTTTGTCATCTAATGTTTAACATTAATCCAGATGTTTCACTTTCCACTTTTACTTCTAAGTTTGCCTTTCTTTTGGCTACCAAATGGATCATCTTTATATCTCAAATAGTGTTTCATCCTTCTTGCTTTTATTCCAGTATCATCTCTTTCAATCCTGCCATTTTTGTATAATGTTCAGAATGAGTTACCCAGATACAGAGAAAATGTGTATCCTTTTCTCATTCACTTTCTTGTTCTGGAAGTTCAGTTCTTATAGTAGCTTTCTGTTCATTTTAGAGGTTCCTAGAAAAATAATTAGCTATTATGGCATACTTATTAGCCCAATATGTGTATATTTAGTATTCTGGCATGATCTGTACAGTCAAAGGCCTTACTGTAGTCAATAAAACAAAAGTAAACTTTGTTTTTAAATTATGTTGCTCTCTCTCCATTATTCATTCAGTGTTAACTTTGTGGTCTTACATTCTTCAGCCTTTCCAAGAGGTGTCTATTCATTTGATATTATCCATATCAACATATGGCACTATTCTTTTTAGTAAGCAAAATGTTGCTTTTCTGAGGAATTTGTGTAATAGTTCAGTAATTTGTATATTCGCTTGCTTTTGCCTTGTTTTGTTTAAGTACACCTTACATATACCTATCTTTTCCAATTCCTAGCCCAGAGAGACTTGTTCCACATTTGTTGACATAAAGCTATTCCATAAAGATTCTCAGTGAAATTTCTAGAATTGTATTTGTAGTTGGTTCATACACTTCTGTACCATTTTGATAGAAAATTATCCTGTTATTTATTGTGCAGTAGCTGAGCATGTAATTAGTAGTGTCTTTTTTTAGTGTTATTTCCACTCCATTCCATTTGGGTCTCATACCCTAAATAGCATATTGTGTAATTTACAATTGTCTGTGCTGCTGAGCCTAATTTCTCTTATTCCTAAAATATCCAGTAGCATTTGTTTTTTTTATGTATTATGAAGTACTGTTTTATTTCATACATCTGAGGCTGAATGTTGGCCATTAAAATAACAGCCTGATCATATGTCTGTTTACCTAGCACTCCCACAGCATTCAGTGAAGTGATTACTTTTGGTATACCAGATTGCAGACTAGGGTTATAGATTTACATTAGTTTGTCCAACTCTTTGAGAACTGTGAAGTTTAGTTTCCAAGACAAGCACTATGAGCCTATTTATTTTTACTTGAAAGTAAATTCCACTACACACAGTGAGCCATTCTAAATTTATTTTATTTTATTTTTAAAAGTCGAAAATGCTCTCACAATAATTAATGTTAAAACAATGATTAAAATGCACAGCATATAACTATTAATACTATAAAAGGAAAAGCCATGTGAAGTTTTGTGGGGAGAGATAGTGAAAAAGCCCTGTTGTTTCATTGTAGGACTAGGCAGATCTTCACAATAAATTTATAAAATGCAGGAATGTATATGAAGCACATTTTTTTTAATTTTTAAAGCAGCCTTATATTTTTCCAAGCTTGCACACCTGCTGTGGAAAATGTTCTTGTCCCCACATGCATTACATGCTCATGCACTGATACAGAATTAGTATGATATCGCATTGTCTAGCCTTAAAAGTGTTTTGCCACTGTATTTTACACTGGCTGCTGTTTTTAAACTATTATGAAATGGAACATACTGCGTTACTATACATGCTCCCTTAAGCTTATGGGGGAAAGACATGTTATAAAGGTAATAAATAATGACTGCACCCAGTGCAGATACTACTGAGACCAGATAGGCTAGTTCACCAAACATAATCCTAAGATAGGAAGAACATTCATAGCCACTTGAACTTCTGTATGGAACACTGTATCTAGAAGTATTTCCTATCAGTTGCCTTAAGTAATTATTTTTTATAGAAGTGTAACACTATCCAAATCTCCATCCAGATCAGTGGTCTTTGAATGAATGAATTGTATTTCAGATTCTTCATATGATTCCCCGTACTGTTTCTTGATATCTCTGATTTCTCTATAAAATAGCGGTGGTGACATTGAGTGTTAATAAATCAAATCTGATAATTTCCTACGATAAAATGACTGCTTTCTCTAGGTGCCTTCCAAGAATGTGGAATCCTTTGCATCAATGCTGAAGTCCTCTCCTTTAATTCAGATGGGACCCGCCAAAGACAAAATTGTCATTGGAAACATTTTTTACACATTAGAAGATGATCTATACATTGATTTTGGTGGCAAATTTCATTGTGTTTGCAAGCGACCAGCAGATGGCAAGTAAGTATAGTCATATTATAGACATTTAATATGTATGAAGCTGAATATTGTGCACTATAGTAAACCATCTGTATGATGTTATTGTTGAATAACATCCCTTCTTCATATTTTATAAGTATTTCATTGGCTTTTGATGCTGCCTGAGCATTTTAAGTTTTCCTTTTCCTTACTAAGGATAGTAAGCTTAAGAGGTCATGTATGTGCAGGCTTCTACAACATCTAGAATCTTCTACATTTCTGCCTCTTAAATGTGGCAACATTTACACAGAATATCGTTTTCCTGCTGAATTGACCTCCAGAAGAACATAAAATCAAATTGGTATTCAAGATTGCTGCTTTTAGTTTTTGTACTTTGCCTAATCCTGGCCAAATTATGCATTTTAAAGGAAGAGAAAGGTATGAGTCAGGTCTTCAGAAAGGAGCCCAGGAAAGAGAAAAAGAGTGGCTGAGAAAATCAAGCTTGAGAGAAGAAGAAAAAATATTTTGAGCAGGTGGGGGGAGAAAGGGGCTCCAGAACTACATGCTGTCTTTGGAAATAACATTTGAGGAAATAGAAGGAAAAAGCAGAAATTGGAGGGGAAGAGTCCATAAACTGGATCCATTCCTTGCTCCAGTTTGTATTTATAAAGGAGATTATTTATAGTTTGTCTCCCAAGTGAAAAGATTCTCACAAATTGATTATATTACTGTTGTCCTTTGAGGTAGGCCAGGTCAGGAAAAAGACTCCCATTGTAATGACTGGAACTCTATTGATATAGGCTATAGTAACAGAAATTTGAAAGCCTGAGTGTTTTTACCCCTTCCCTCCCTCTTTTATTCTGGGGCAGTGTTTTTCAACCTTGGTAACTTGAAGATGTATGTACTTCAACTCCCAGAATTCCCCAGCCAGCATCCTGGGGATTGAAGACCACACATCTTCAAGTTGCCAAGGTTGAGAAATACTGCTCCAGGGTGTTGAGGCAGAGCCAGTTTGAGTTTCTTTCTAATGCTTTCTTCTTTTCCCAGGCTTAAAATATATTTTGTAACTGTTGCTGCATAGTTTCTCTAAAGTCATCTCTGTGGCTCTCCACAATTGTTCCCTCCTAAAACATTCTGCTATTATTCCTATAGTGAATTGCAGTTGTTATAATAGCCCTATCTGTACTGATAGCTAAGATGAAAAGATGAGAGAATAGTTCCTCACATTACTAATAAATTTTGAGGCAGTTTCTTCTGGTTGAGTTGAAGTAAGTGGGCTCTTTTTCCACAACATCCAACATCGGCATAAACTTTTACAGCTGTATAGTTAGTATGTAGATAACCTTAAGTGATCAAATTTAAAGAAAAAGAATGGGGAGATCATGCAGGCATGTCTTCTTGAATTTTTTCCAACAGTTATACCCACAGTGGTCTTAAGAAGTATCTGTATTTTCTTCTGTGTACTGAAGTAACATATCTCTCTATATGTGTTTGTTTGTATATTTTCTTCATGTTGCTCTTTGTTCAACATGGCTGGCTGGGGAATTCTGGGAGTTGAAGGCCACACATCTTAAAGTTGCCAAGGTTGAGAAACACTGGCCCAGAGCACTCTGTGCTTCCTCTCAGCAGACTTTCTCATGATGACTGAGAGTCAACTTTGGCAAGGCAGTACCTCACGTAGTCCAGTACTGTGCTGTAAAGGACTTTTTAAGAAATAACTGGTACTTTGAATTGGGCCTCAAAATTGCAGCAATCTCAAAAGTGGTTTGTTTGTTTTTGTGCTATGGAGAGGTGGTCTTACTAGTCTGGCTGTTGTATTCTGGATGAATTGAAGCCACCAGGTCATCTCCATGCTATATTAGTCAGTGTGGTGTTCAGAATTTAAGTTACTGTTCCTGCTGAACTTTTCTGTTCATGTGAGTGAAGAAGCCTAGGTTTGTTTGTTATGTATGTTATTGTTATTAGCTGCCTTAAAATAATAATGTACAAAATAAAAGATAAAACAAAATAATAAAACATTAAGTTTGGTTAGCTATCTACAGCTGCAAAGTGAGAGTGGGCAACATAAATAAGATCCAAATGCAATAAAAGGATTAAATAAATATCAAAACTGTTATATTACACAATAATTAGTGTAATATAAACTATAGAAGAATAAAATATGTCAAGATCAAGCTGCCTTCTGAATTTGTCTTGTTTCCTAGTTCATATATATCAAGATACGGTGGGTATTTATGGCTTTCTGATTTGTTTCAGTGTTCAGCAAGAGCAAAGGGGCTATGTGAATACTTGTAACTCATGTTTTCTTAGAGCAGCATTTGATCATCAAATGTAGTCAATACCAAAGATGAGTGTGAAAAACATGTTTAATTTTCACTGAAATATTGTTTCATATAGGTGATATGTCCCTTTCATCTTGGGATGGCATTTACTGACAGGAAAGCATTTCTATATTTTCCTTTAACTCCCCTTCCCCCCTTTTTTAAAAAGAGAAATGGCATGGCATTGTATTTGATTTTTTTTAGTTGTAATTTTCAGTTACTTTTAATAATTTTAGTTGACTGATAAAAATGGTTTATTTTACTTGTTCTTCTAGTCATAGTCTACTGAAGTCCCAAATCTTTGGCAAGATTGTTCTCCTTGTCCTGTTTTCACAGATTACAGAAATGGAAGGAAGAAATAGCAACTATTTATGTTTAAAGAAGGTTAGATTCAAGAAGGTGGCTTTTTAAAAGCTGCTTTTATAGTGTTATTCACCATAACTCTTAGCCCAAACAATGTGTGTGGTGCCTCTGTGTCTACTGTCAAACACTAGACTGCATTTTTTACAGACTAGTTATATGATTGCAGACTGAATCTATGCATTTTTCAGCAAATAGCTCCCAGGATTATTTATAGTAATGTACACTTAGGAAATTATAACTCTTTATCTCTTGTGGACTTCATCTTATTTGTTTAAATGCCTTACAGTGCACTTTTTGTTTGCCACCCACTTCGTTGTTCTTCAGTAGTTATTTTCAGTCTCAGACTGAGGTGCTGCTTTTTGTGGTTCAGTATTTCACAAAAATGGTGTTGCAGAAATGGGTGAAACCGTAAATCCATAAATATTTTTGGACTATGTTTTTTTAATACTGTAGACAGCTAGCAGAGTTCACATCTGGAGACAAAATGCAAGTCATTACAAATCAGCTTCCTCAGAACAGACATTATAATTGATAGACAATTCAGTTTTCCCTAAATAGTACAATTACATATGCAGGTGTAGCATATGAGTTTCACTAGTACATTAATCAAATGGCTAAGTACATAAACACTGTTTTATTGCACCAGATATAAACGTAGACATTAAAGAAAACCTGTAGTGCAGATTTATCTTTTGTTTATGAGTATATTTGTTGCAAGAAATTGAATAACTACAAAATTCTACTCAATTTTTAATCAGTCATTATCAAATGGTGCATAAAAATAAAAAGCAAATTCTAATCCAATACTGCAAAGTTAATCACTCTAAGAGCAAAAGGTGATAAGTGTGATTAAGGTATATAGCCAGTTGGAATTTTTAAGAAACAAAAATGTGCTTGGGTTTATGAAAGTACCACAGAAGCATAGGCACTTCAGAGAAATAAAAGACTAAGCACTGCTTTATAGTCATAGAATATGTAGTGTCAGTTAAAAAGAAACAGGTTAGGGAAAGCATGCAGAAGATGCCGTCTGAATTTTATTCCAATAGTTTTGCTCTGGATCATGTGACTAGGAAGAAGGAGGGGGCTTAGAATGGCAATACTGGCAGTACTCCAAGACACAGCCCAACCACCTATCCTATAGGGTTGCAATGTTGGATTTTTTTTGTAGAATGGTTTACTGTACAGCCTCTGGCTGAATCTGACCCAATTTTGAACTTGATCTTTCTTTTGCAAACGTCTCTCCCCCCCCCACACCCTTTCACCAAATTTGGTTCTTGTATTCAGTTTTCAGGGAGTTGTCCTGCTGACATGCAGAGAGACAGAGTCCTGAGCTTGCCTCTACATAATTTCTTTGCAATATTCTTTTGGATCGGAAGGAATAAAGATGGCAGTTTAGTGAGATGAAATGGAGCAACATGGAGGACTGTATGCATGGTTGGCTAGCAAGTTCAGTTAAGGTAGATTGAGTTTATACCGCAACATGGTGCAAATCACATATGCATATTTCAAGGTCATGAAAATGTAAAATGTAGTTTTGTATTTGTGGTATTTGCAGTACTGGTAAGTTGACATCCAAAGCAGTTTACAGGGAAAGTTTTTTAAAGTGTAATTGTTATACAGAGAGGCTAAGAATGGGATTCTGGAAGTATGTACGGTATATGTCAACAGGAGAAAATTGGGAATGATACAACTGTTGGTGGAATAGGCAGCCTTTAGAAAGTTAACCTGGGAGATTGAAGTACTCGGGCTGAAAAGTATTCTGTAGCCTTGTTTTGAACATCATGGACTAAGTGGAAAGGTTTGATGTGATAGATAGTGAGAGGTTAAGAATCGTCCTGTTCTTTTCCCTTATATAGAAATATTCCTTTCTCTTCCCCCAAACCATTTTGTATTGGTGTGTTAAAACTTAAGGAAAGAAAAGCGGGGGAATAGTGTTCTTCATCCTTTTCTTCCTAAAGTTTCCTTTGTCTTCAAAAGCTATATCCAGTCTATCAGTGAGATGCAATAATATGCTCAGATTTGATATAAGCAGCTTGGATCCTGGCCCCTTTTGGTGAGAAATCATATCATAAGGAAAGTCTGTCCCTCCTTCCTTAACCTCTCAATTGGGAGCTCTGAAGAAGGCTAGTGTTCTGGTTGACTGACATTTTGAACAAGAAAACTACTGTTATAAACTGGGGATACTCAGCAATGTCTGGTTTCAGGTTTATGCCTACAATTGATATAACGAACAGGTGGCATAGCTACTAAAGAAGAAATTTGTGAAATGGGAAAGCCTAATATAGTTGGAATAGCAGTATTTTTAGATATGATTACTTGCTTTCTCTATTAATTTCATACCTATATTTATATATTAAA